AGGTTTCACTTTACTTTAACTTGCACCATAAATAATTAAATTTATAACATTTTTGCAGGTATCCTTATAGGCTGTTTTTTAATTGTTCTAGTCAGTTAATTATTCGATTTATTCTTGTGGTATTTGTATCTACCTTCATTTATCATGCCCTACTGTGTTTTAGCTTTATTATCCGACCTCTGTTGTGATGTATCCTTTGCTACGATTCTACCTAGCGGAGTGATAATAAGAGATAAATGCTATTAGTAATTGTCTTACGCTTTTATTATCAGTACTTTTTACAACATCCTAGACATTATTTTTTAAGGTTACACAATATATATTTGATTTCATCTCACCAATAGATTATCTATACTTTTTTTATTATGTTTAAATTTCACCCATGCAAGTAATTATTTTCGTTTAAATTTTTTTACTCACAGGTCATGACATGATGTCACTCCTGTATCATTTTTTAGATGAATGGCTATTTATCTTCTCCGCAGATCCGTTCTTCATACCTAGGGTAAGTGGTTGATTTAAATTTGGTGATTATTATGGTTCACACTTAAACATTGTTTCTTTCTTTAATTATGAACAGGTTGTAAAAATAGTCGACTTTGACTTGAAGAACTTTAGAATTCGATCTAGGGGGTAAGTGATTTTATGTGAATATTTTCTTTTAGCTGGGGCGAAGAGTTTAACAAATCCAAACATCCTCAGGCAAGTTTTATTGTCTCCTTTATTATTTTCTGACACTACAATACCAGTTTGCGAGTAACCTTTACTCGAGTTAATTTTTCCTTTTTATATCCATAGGGCACGGAGGTAAAAGCAATAACCTATTCAAGCATGCAGATACATGATAAGGATGATATGCACGAAGTCTTCGTGATTATTGATATATAGTCTATATTTTTTAACTTAAAAGCCGCTTTTACATTTTAACTGTATTTTGGTTAAGATATATTAGCACTATGTAATTCTTCAACTCCGTTTGAAGCTATTTTCTTTTAATTTTAAGGATTTTTTTATATTTTGGCCTTAACCGTAAAAGTGCCTCTCCTGATCAGATTAGTTACCTCCAGTTGCTCCATTATCAGCAAAATTGATTTAGTTTGCATCAAAACTCAAGCCGGACGGCATCTCGAGCGGCAGATTAAAAACAGTTAAGTGCGTAATATACTATGTAGATACGATGAGAAAGTTATTTTCGATGAATCTCTTGAGATAACATTGTTAGGGGGACCTTCATTTCGAATTAAAGTGCATGAAGAAGAGATTAGTTGGTCGATCTTACCAAATGAGGACGGATGAAACTCGTTGTACTGCAGCCGTTTGGCTTTTATACAATATTTATGTTGACGCAGTCCACGAGACTTCCTTCCTTGTTTCGGGTGAAAACGTGATGAGCTTTTGTCCATCATATGATGGACATCATCAGAGCTGGGTGTCATTCTTG